GGGCAGAGTGCTGGTGACGGTGTGTGAGGGGAATGGGAACGGGAACGGGCAGAGTGCTGCTGGCGGTGTGTGAGGGACCGGACCGGTGGGACCGGTGGGATGGGCTCCTGGGGATGAGGATGGGGCCCACATGGGGATGGGATGGGGATGGGGATTGGGATGGGCTCCTGGGGATGGGGATGAGGCCACATGGGGATGGGGATTGGGATGGGCTCCTGGGGATGGGGATGAGGCCACATGGGGATGGGATGGGGATGGGCTCCTGGGGATGGGCCCGGGCCCACACAGGGTCGAGCCGCTCCCATTACCGGGGGTTTGGCTGGCACGGGGCTGCGGTCCTGGAGCTCCCGCTGCTCTCGGTGCATCCGTGTCCATACTCCGGTTCTTCAGGCGGTTAATGGAACACAGCCCGCTGCTGCTGGAGCTCAGCCAGACTGAGCCCACGGACGGGCACAGATCAGCCGAGCTGTCAATGGGCTCTTGGTTCAACGTGACGCTCTTTATTTTCAAGGACCGCTTTTGTAGCAGCATCAGATCAAGCCTCACCAAGGTGCAGAGGCATTTTAATGGTTTCTGTCCATCACTAGGACACGGACRGCACCGGCATCCAAAAGAAGAACTGCACGTGGCTGCTGGTAACGCACGATCCGTGTGTCAAAGGCGATGTGGTAAGGGAACACTGGGTGATACATCTTTTATATTTATCATTGAAATGCTCCTGCTAAACCAGGCGAAGTTTTGTGAAGTTGAGAGATGTACTTGAGCAGCTTCATTCCTTTGATTCTACGACACAGTTTAAGGAAAAAAACCTCAAATTTCACCTGATTGAAACAGAACAGCCATCATCCCTCACTGAGCTTACAGTATCAGTTGCTTTGGATGTATGAAGGAAAAACAGAGAAGGATGAAGCACAGTTTTTAATGTCCGTCTTGCCGTAAATTTTTCTCAAACCAAGTTTAGCAAACAGAATCATGGAAATCCACAGAGTTTCTGTGTATTGTGAGTAAAGAAGTCTGAAGAGCAAGTGGTCAAACCTGCTGGCTCATTTGCTCCATTGTATGTGCTTATTTCAAACACTCACTAGCTCCTTTTGTTTTTTTTGGCGGTTCTTTTGATAATAACAGTACACACTTGCAGTGGTAATATAAATATTTTGGTGTATTTTCCAGATGACAGCACTAGAGAAAGCCACTGGTGATGTTGTGTTCAAGTTTGAACCATTTGTTCTTCACGTGATGTGTCAGGAGCTGCAGGATGCACAGCTGCTGGTAAACCCATGTCAAGTACAGTGTGACAGTGTTGTTGTGTTACATTCCTGCTGTAAAAGTTTGGCTGCTCAGTRAGCAGTTGCACTTAGGAACAGTCCCAGGTGTTGGGACTTAGGTGCTATGTGTTTAACAATTAGGGTAGTAAAGTAAGCTGATGGAAAAACACAGCTTTAAACTTGGTGAGGGTTTTACTTTCCTTAGAAAGGAAAACTACTCATCTGCAATTCAGCCTTGAAGCTGAAGCAGACTGCTCCATCAAACACTAAGGAGCCCGGGCTGCACTCACTGGCTGAAAGGGATGGATTTGATGTGTTATTTTGCTGCCAGCCAGGCCATKTGGCTCCATTTTCAATTAATTGAATGGTGCATTCGCCTTCTGCTTTTCCAGCATGACTGCAGTGAGCAGCATGGGCTGTRCTGGGCTTGTTTTGTCATTCACACAGAAGAGCTGAGGAGCTGCACGTGTAGCTATAGACATAGCATGACTGTTCGTGAAGTTACAGCTTGTTTGGATAAAACAGTTCAGTGCCCAAAGAGATGTTACATCCCTTCTGCACCCTTCAGTGGATTCAGACAGTCAGGATCCACCATGGGTCTCTGAAAATMACCCACAATTTGTGGGTTTGATCTGAAATATTTTAGAAATATTCTAGTATGACTTCTTTTGTATCAGTCAGGGTAGATAGTTTTGAATAAGTTTTTTGCAAAACTGAGATTGTGCGTGGTGTTGCAATGCATCCATAAATATTTTTTGCTGTGAAWGTGTATAAGACCTATTTAAGCATTTATTTTTTCTGCAGCATTCCATCGCTGTTGACTCTGGGTTCAGGAACTCTGGTATTACAGTTGGCAGAGGAGGAAAAATTATGATGGTAAGGACTCTGCTACTGTAAGGGATGTCACAAAGTCACACTGTTATGTAAACCTGGATTTTTTTATGAGCCAAGACCTGACTTGTGCTTAACAGCTCTTAGAGAGCATGCTGTAGCAAAGAAGTAGCTTGCTGCTTTAGATGAAAACAACCTAACAAATCATGTGGATAAGCAGATTTTTACTGTGATGTACTCCCTAGGTTATTTAAATAAACTTCATAAACTAAAAAACTTCCTTCCAGGTAAATTGTGTGTGTGTTTTCAGGCTGTGCGGGGTACTCACTGCTTAGAAGTTCCGTTGAGCCACAAGGGAAGATTGATGGTCTCTGAAGAATATATTGAATTTCTGGTACATGTAGCCAATCAGAAAATGGAAGAAAACATAAGGAGGATTGAGAGGTTTGTAAGATTWCACCAGTTCTGTTCATGACATCTGATTTTTCTTCAGGATCAGCTAAAGCATTAGTAACCATTGCATGTTTTGATTMCATTCCAAAAGCATTAGTTTCTCAAACTAGTTTGCAGCTCCTGAGCAAACCTATAAAAATAGTAACTACAGAATTGTTTGTCTAGATTCCACAGAGGCTTGCAGTTGGCTCTGGAAGCTGCTGTCCCTGCAGGCACCGTGTCTTCCGAGGGGCCAGAGAGGAGCCACCCTGTGTACGTGCACAGAAGAAAGAGACGGCTGGCTCAGGAACAGGCCGATCCCAGCAGAGAGCTGGAGCCCCAGGATGATATTAACATTCTTGATCTGTTTGCTGAAATCATGGTGTAGACTAAGGCGTTTGAAAGCAAATGGTGAACTGTGATTGATGCTCTTTTTAAGAGATTTGTATACTCCTGTGCTCCGAGTAGTAACACTCTTATAGACATTGACCAGAGAAAAAGGTTATTTAGAGAATAGTWAGGAGGTGTAGCTACAGGACGCAGAGAAAAAGAGCTGTAGAATGTTTTGGGTTTTTTCTAACTGTACTCTTGAGTTAACAAAGTTGTATTCAGTTATCCCAGAAATAAGTGATTAGCTGCAGCCTTTTGCCCAGCAGCATCTCACTTCCAACTTCCTGGGTTTTGCAGAGCCCTTCTGTGCATGTGACATTTCTTGAAAGGTCTGTTGGACATGGCGTAAGGGACTGATGACACAGCACCAACCACAAGCAGTGCCCAGAGGCACACATGGGAAGGGAAAATTCAGCACTGAAAAAGGAGAGGTGCAAAGAAACCATATCAGACTGCAAATCAGCCCACAGAACCCACATTTTCGGGACATGAGAGACTTGCTCCTGAATCCAGAGCAGGTAAACTCCCATTGCATACAGTCACCTGTGCAAGGTGGGAGAGATCACAGACACTAATGGTGTGTGTAAACCAGGACCTTGATGTGCCTTCGGGGCAGAGCTGCGGGATTCTGTGTTGGAATAAAAATTGTATTTTTGCAACTGTATTTTTTGGGCAGCTTCTTTTTCATTTTGCTTTTTTTTTTTTTTTTTTTTTTT